GTTGGGGTAGTGATCACTAACTTTTTGAAAATTCATCCCTAAGTGTTTATTTTAAAAGCTGTGTCAGGAAAAGCAAAGTGGGAACTTATGGTGGGAATTCTGAACTCAGTCCTTACTTAAATGTCCAGACTGCGTATATACAAGATGATCACAGTTGCCTAGGCAGCAACTCGGAGGAGCTGTTTTCTCATCACAATTGCCAACTGCTATCCAAAAGAGTTGTACTAGTAATATGTGATGTGGCCACTCCTTAGGTCTTCCCCAGCATTGATTTTTATTACATTTTTTAAAATTGCTTGCTGATTTAATCATGAGAATGGTACCACATTTTACTTCTGTTTCTCAATTATTATGTGTTGGCTATATTCCCATATATTTATCAAGCACTATGCTTCCTATCTTTTAAATATACTGTTTGTGTCCTTTGCCCACTTAGTCATTGGGAATCTAAATATTTGTCTTATTTTTATGAGCTTTGATTAACAATCTCCTTTATTTTCTTTGAATATTTTTTTTTTTTTTTTTTGGGTGTCGGACCAGCCCATCCATGCCTTCACCTCTCCTATCAGTTCTTTGAATATTTTTATCAGGCTCATTGTTTCAGCATAAAGAAATTTGAGGGTTTTGTATAGACAAATCTATTGATGATTTCTTTCTGATTTTTTTCTTATTCTAATTTTTTAAAAAAGCCACCCAGAGATTTAGAAATATTTTAAGTTCTTATGTTTTTTTAAGCCTTCCTTTTTGAATGCCATATTTTTATTTTTTAAAAATATATTTTTATTGATTTCAGAGAGGGAGAGAGAGATAGAAACATCAGTCGGCTGCCCATGCTCCAGCACGCCCCACACTGGGGATCACACCTGCAACCCGGAAATCGAAATGGTGACCTCCTGGTTCATGGTTCGATGTTCAACCACTGAACCATGCCAGCTGGGCAAAGAAAGCATTTTTGTTGTTGTTGTTCTTAATCCTCACCCGAGGATATTTTTCCATTGTTTTTTAGAGAGAGGGGTGTGGGAGAGACACAGAGAGACGAACATCGATGTGAGAGAGACAAATCAATTGGTTGCCTCCCCCACACACCTGGACCGGGATGCAACCTGCAACCAAGGTACATGCCCTTGACCGGAATTGAACCCAGGACCCTTCAGTGGGCGCGCTGATGTTCTACCCACTGAGCCAAACCAGCTATGGCCTAATGTTACCTTTTTTGGTTTAGTGTATAGGCATAGCACATGAAGTGAGGTGAAATTGGACTTTTTCCAATATTCCCAGCATTGTTTATTGAATCTTTCCCTTCCTCTTTGATTTGTGATTTTTTTTCCCTTCTAAAGTTAGCAGTGTTTCAGAGCTTGCCGTGTGTTAAGTAATGTTGTGTAACACTGAGCATTTTACATGTATTATCTCATTTTTCCTCACAGCAACCCTATGAGGAAATGAGAGGATTTTATATTGGGTTATCTTTCTTTCTGTTTTTATGCCACTACCACTCTGTCTTTAATTTTTATAGCCAATATGTTTCCTCTCAAGAAAAGCTAAGGTACCTTTACTATTTCTTCCTTTTTCTATTCTTGCCTGTTTATTTTCCCAGATGAATGTGTTTGATGTTATGTTCCCAAAAGAATCCCATAAGAATGTTTGTCAGAGTTGGCTTAATCCATAAATTATACTGGAAATAATCATAACTTTACACTATGAGTTAAGGTATACCTCCTGTACTTAGCCTTGGTGCCTGGTGCATTGCAGGTGCTGAATAAATATTTATTGAGTGAAAAAATAAATGAAGAGACTTCTGTTTATCATCTCTGTCAAGTTTGCACCTCTCATTACTGTGTTTTATCTTCTTCCCATTTGGCACTACACATTTCATGTGAATGTTATATTTATTTTGATGTATTGTTTCTGTCATGAATGGTATTTTTTCCCTGTAATTTTCTAATTATTTGTTGCAAGCACATGAGAAAACCTTTAATGTTTCATATTTATTTTGTTACTTATTTAAAGTTATTCTTCTGAAGACATTCCTGAGCGGTGGGAAACCTTTTCAGGGGTGGGAAACCTTTTTCCTGCCAAGGACCATTTGGTATTTATAACATCATTTGCTGGCCATACAAAATTATCAACCTAAAAATTAGCCTGCTCTATTTGGTCAAACATTTAATTAACTCGCCCCTAATGCCTTGGCAGAGCCAGACCAAATGATCTGGCCCGCGGGCCGGACATTCCCCACCCCTGCTTTAGATAGACAATTACTTCCTCTGTTAATAATAATCATTTTGTTTCTTATTTTCCTGTAATTTTATCTGTTATTTCTCTTTCTGGAATTTCCCAAATAACATTAAAAAGATTGATTATAATGTATATTGGTGCTTGATTCTAATTTTAATAGAAATATAACTTTTTACTTTTAAGCATTATGTTTATAAATACCTGGTATTTACATGATAGTTCTTAAAATGTACTTCAAAAGTAATAATCTTATAACAGATTTTAGGTTGACTTTTGTCTGACATTTTTAGTGTTTGTTAAAGGAATTTATATTGCTTCAGAGCATTGTTATGGAAGATTATTGAGTAGGGCATATTTGTGACCATTTAAGTAAGGGTAAGTGAGCTCTGATGTATAGCAGTGTTAACTTGTCCAGGGCTCTAGTGGCAGAGGTAGGATTTAGGCCTAGAATCTTTGACACCAGCGCACACCTTATTCACCACTACTTTATCCCTTATGTATTTGCTTTTGTGTTTGTGTTATTTGAATCCTCTTGACGGGTGATAAATAAGTTCCTTGTAAAATAGAAGCTTTAAGGGTTGGATGGATGAATGTCTGTCTTTTTCTTTTTAATCCTTACACAAGGATATGTGTGTATTGACGAGAGAGCGAGGGAGAGGGAGAGGGAGAGAGAGAGAGAGAGAGAAACTTCGCTGTGACAGATAAACATCTGTAGGTTGCCTCCCCCAACCAGGGATTGAACCCACGACCTTTTGGTGTACGGGACAATGCTCCAACCAACTGAGCCACACTGGCCAGGGCTGAATGTATAGCTTATGAGCTTGAGAATTAGATGCTGAGAACTAATGCATTTTGAAATACGTATGGAGCCCAGTAATGTTCTTGTCCTGGTGGCAAATAATGAGCCCACCTCCATTAATAAGGCCATAATTTCCTTAAAAGGAAGTATTATTTAATTACTGTAAGGCTAGATAATGCTTCTAAGGACTAGAGTCTGTGTAGTTGACATACGTTGTATTTGTAAATGTCCTGAGTTTTCCATCTGCATGTCTGTTAGTAATGTTAGTGGAATCCATAGGTTGCTGATAAAAGATGTAATTCATAATTTTACTTCCCCTATATTTCTAAGATATTTCTAAGTATTTATATGACAACATTTAATTTTTGACACCTTTAGAGTGAGAGACATTAACTCTGAGAAACCTTTTGTAAAATATGAGATTTTTAGAAGATGGTAGTGTGTGACAGAGTAGAAAGTATCTAAGCAGTTAGCCTCTCTCAGCGATGGTGAAGATACTAGATCAGTGATTGGGAGGAAGTGGGAACAGCTTACCCATTTAGAAAAGTAATGCATTTTAAAACCATTTAGGGATTATTTCAAATAACCCCTTTTCTTCATGGTGAAATTCCCTGGCATAGTGAGCCAATTAGGTTTGCTGGGGCAGAAAAATGTTCAAGTGACACCGTACTAGTCAACATAGGAGAGGAATTGCTGTATTGAAGTTTAACAGTGATTTTTCTGTAAGCCCGATGCTTAAAAAGAGAGAGAAAAGAACACATTAGATGGTTGTTGTTGTTGTGTGTGTGTCTGTCTGTCTGTCTGTCTCTGTCTCAATAGAAATGTTCCCAACCATGGAAACAATTTTATCTTAATTTTAAAATTTCTTGGGAAGGAGTATAAATATTTCTGTCTGTACTTTTCCCAACTAGGAATGCTTGAAATAGATTCTTCCTTATGTCTCCCAAATTAAATACCTCGTTTGTGGCTTACCCATTTCAGTTATGCTGTCTCGCATTTTAATCTAGCCTTGTTTCAGGGCTTCTTTTTCTGACTCTTGGCTATTATGTTTGTCTCTAATTCAAAAGGTGGCTTACTTTTATATTTGTAGAAAATTATTGGTTTTCTTCTAGTGGGAGTTGGGGGTCCCAGTGCAATTGGATTTGGAGTGTTAAGATTTGTTTCATGCCCAGTAGTCCTGTTGTCTGTTTTATTGGGTTCATCAACTGGTTGCAGCACCAATGAATCCCATCCTTTTTCCCTTTCTCCTTTCCTTTCCCTCCCTCCCTTAGTACTGCCCATGGTTGTTAGACCTCCATGGCTTTATCCTGACACTAATCTTATTTTTAATTTAGGTAAGTCAGTTTCTAATTTCTAATGTGCAAAAAATAAGTTTTCCTCTCCCGCACATGAAGACTTTTAATTTTGTAAATATTTAAGTTTCCATGAATAAATGGTTTATTAAATATACACTAAAACTATTCCTTTACATGACTTTAAACCTCAGTTTTTTATTGTGTTTTAATACTTTTCTTAAGTGCAAAAGGCAAAACCATTAAACTGTCCTTATTAAAATGCAAAGCCTAGTGTCTTCTAGCTTTTTGAAGAGCTTTTGTCCATTATATAATCTGTAAAGTAGCCAAGAGTTCCTTAGAAGCAGGACATCATTTAGATTTAAAACAATTATGGCTTGTGTGTAAAAGAATGATGTGGCATAATCATTCATGGGGTGGCAACCACAGTTTTACTTTACTAGCAAAATCCTTGGATACCTCCAACATTTCATTTACTGCAAAGACTTTACCAGGGTCCTGTACCTGGGACAAAAATGATTAGGTCATTTACAGTCGACCATGTAGATTAAGTTGGTGTGACTAGGAAGCCAAATGACACAGTTATGAGCATAGAGACCATTTATTTCCCTCCCCCCCCCCCAGATGTTTGACAGTGTAAACATACATAAAATACATATTAAAGTTTAGATGCTTTATATTTTGTGCAATAAATTGAAGCCTTAAAAAGAAAATATTTCATTAAAAAAAGAAATGCATTAGTTTTACTTAAGACAGTAAAATAGTAGCAAGTACCAAGACATTGTGCACTTCTTTTATTTAAGACAAGTAATTTCATTTACATCAGAGTCAGAAGGGTAACACTGGCTTTCTTGAATATTTAATATAGCTTGAATCACTGGCTAGATAGGGGCATATTTTCCCAACTATACATCAGGGAGGAGTTCTTTCATTAGTTTCAGAAAATGCAGACCCTCAGATGGCCAGCATGACCGCAGCATTGAGCATTAAGAGAAACGAAGCATTTACTTTCCAAGCACTTGCCGCAGAAGGTAAGCGAGTCTTTACATTTGTGGTGGTCTCTTCCCTCCGTAAGTTAAGGGTTGTGCTTTGTTGAGGCATTTCTGAGAAATTATTTGGCATGCCACTAGTAATACTTAGGGTCATGGGTGTTGGGGATGATTTTGTTGAGCTAGTGAGGCTTGTGTTTGTAACCATTCCATCTTGGAGATGAATAGTTAGAGTTGCAGCTGCTGCTTCATGTGAATCGGTCATTTCTGTGGATGTGTCTTCTGGATAGGGCACAAAAGCCTTGTCAGTGCTAGTCAAGGTGGTGTCTTTGCTTAGAGTGGCGCCAAATGTTGTTTCCTTTGCTCGATATTGTTTGGGTATTTTGGTCACTTTGGATTGAGTTACTATACTCAGAGAGTTAATGGTGTCCACGGTCTGCATGCCACTTACAGTGAACAAGCTTGAGGTGAATCCAGAGGGTGTGGGGTATATGTTATGTTCCTGCAGAGATGATATTTGGCTCGGACAGGGGGTTCCTATCACGTGGGCTTTTGTTTGTATCACCCACTTCAGTAGGTACGTAATGTTTTGTTTGTGGTCACATGACCACCTGTTATTATAAAGGGTTATCTCTTGCAACTGAAAGAGTTGGTCAAAAGCTTGATCTGGAATGAATGTGAATTTGTTGTTGTGCAGGTAAAAATGTGTGAGGTTTGTCAGGCTTATTAATGTTCCGGGGAGGATTTGTGTCAAGGAATTGTTAGACAGGTCCACCATATGTAGTTTTGAGGGCATGTTGGTTGGAACTGTCCAAAGTTTGTTACTACTCAGGTTGAGAACCTCAAGACTTCTTAGTGTATTTTTAATGAGGACAACCTTTTCCAGCATATTCTTAGAAACATCCAGGTATTTAAGGTTCCACTGATAGGCAGTATCAGATTTGTCAAGCAGTTTAATGTTGTTGTTAGCAGCAGACATATTCCAGAGGGACCGAGGTAACTGAGCAGGGAGGCTTTCAAGCCTGTTGTTTGAAATGTCCAGGGTCCTCAGATTGGTGTATTGGGTTAACTGGTTATGCAGATCAGTAAAGTGGTTATAAGACAGATTTAAATAGATAATATTCTCTTGCAGTCCAGAAGGTAATGTACTCAAGTTTCTGCCTGAACAGTCCACATGCCTGTGCCTTTCTGTGCATATACATTGGAGAGGACAAATGCATAAAATACCCGGTGTGAGAAACAGAAGGATGAACAGGCTGGGAGACATTTTCAGTATCTGATATTCCATCAAAGCCTAGAAGCAAACAGATACACCCTTCTTTTAATATGCAAATACAATTAGGCATCTGCTTGGGTCCATTAGCATTAGGCAAAATTTTCAATAAACCTCGTTGTTGTTGAGTCCTTTTATAATTGTTCCAGTGATTAAACTAACAAAGATCCCCTTCATTTATAGTCCAAATGCTTAATCCTTCAATTGAGGCTATGTGGAAAGATTGTCTCTCCCTACTCTCCCTGCATTTTCTCTTTTATTTTTTCCCTTCTTATTTATCTTTCCAGAGCCTTAATATTATCAAATGGCCTTCTCTACAAATAAACAGTCGGAATCTTAATCTATTACTGTTTTGAAAATATTCTTTTTATTCAGAAGGGGAAAAATGGCTGTCATGTCTTTTTTTCAATCTCTGCAGTAATGTAATAGTCAACGAGTGTGTGTAGGGTGAAATTTTATTTAGATATTAGAGCAACACTTAGAGATTTATCTTTGTGTTTTTAGGATAAATATATCCTCACAAAGCATTTTAAGGCACTTGCAAAATCCAAACCAACACCGTACTTTCAAGCCTCACGTTTTATAAAGTGATTTTTTTCTGTATATCTCAGTGCCGATTCTAAAAGAAAACAAGTGTATATTTACAAAGTGAATGAATATTGACAAGAAATTCCTCCACTGACACTGCAGCAAATTTCTGATGCATGCACTTGCTATTGAATATATATTCAATCCTAAGGTTGACTTTTTCTTAAAGAAAAAAAAAAGAAAGAAAAACTCCGAGGTCCATTTTTTACTGATTTAAATAACATCTTACCATAGTGTCGTCTTCAGCATCAGCATCTCATTTTTCTCCGGGAAACTTAAGCTTAAAGGTCGCCTTGTTCTGGAGCGTAGGAACCGCTTCTGGCTGTGGGCTGTGCTTGCCTGCTCAGCTGCATTGTGTTGCTGTGAGCTGGAGCTCTGCAACCACCTGATCAGTACCACATAGGAGGACTGCAGAGCTGTCATTGGTGCTGACTCAAATTTATTGCAAGAGGTGCACACGCTACAAAATGGACAAAAAAACACACGTTTTCCCCCTAAATTTATAGCATTAAGCATATCTATATAGTTTAGATTTGCTATAGGATGAAATGCCTCAGGCACATTAAACCTGGCCCTTACTCATTCCTGGGTATTTGTCTGAGCTTAAGTTCCACATTTTAACATTTGCCTCATGAAGAATTTGTGGTTCTTCTTAATGCCTCTACTCTTCATTCTTTTTACATGTTGAAAATGATTTTGACCTTCCTCGTGGATGGTTTTCTACGATATTAGTTTAAATATTTTTAACTCCTACCTTTTTATGTGTGTCACTGTTTAAAATAACAATACAAACTGCTTGATTTTTATGTATTCCCCCAACATGATAGTTATTATGTATAATCAGCTTTTCAAATTTATCAACCACTTAAATGTTCATCTTCCTTTGGGGAAGTAAGAAATACTTAACTATGATTATTTTGTCTTTATCTTTCTGATATAAAGGATCATTTTCCCAGGCTACACACAAGCAAGACTACATTTTTTTAATGAGCATCTTATGCTTTTAATTATCAGTTCGTATGGTAAAATAAATATGTCTTATTTTATGACCTTAGGGTTAAGGGTTCCATTTTTTTTTTTTTTTTTTTTTTTTTTATGAAACTGCTTAGTGAGTGGCTATAAGTATTGTTTTCTCCAGAGACATCTTTGATACTATATGAATGACCATCTATCTGATTTTATGTTTTAAAAACAACGGCATCAATTTCAGGTGATTTCTTCAAACTGTTTTACATTTTATCTTCTGAGAAAGCAATTTATACTTTTAAAATTATGTGAAATAATGTAAAAAGGAAAACTTTTGGTCATGAGTTTAATAAAATGAGACCAGATTATGATAGCTTCTGCTCCACTCTTTAGTGGACTGATTGCATAATCTGTTAAAACTTGTGTAATTTCCAGAGTAGTCAGTTTACTTTAGAAAAGAAAGCCAATATAGGTAATTCATTACAAATTGTTACCATTTAAAAACCAGCAATTATTAGCATATTACATTTAAGGAAAATCTCTTTATGCCTAGTTACTAAATCCTCTGCTTTTCTCTAAATTACATTTGCCATTATTTTACCCCAATTAGAATTAGTATTAAAATTTGAAATTTATTTTCTTAGGAAGCTAACTATAATCTAGGAGTCACCTTTTGTATAAAGTTAATGTTCCTCGAAAAGTATCTACATTTTAAAAGTCTGCAGTGTTAGAAGTTTATTATTGATTAGGTACTTTATTCCCACTTCACTTTGAGGATTCATTCTTGGACTCTTAATAAGATTTTTTTCTATGGATTTCAGAAACCAGTCATCAATCTTATGATTTAAAAATGTTAAAAATACTCCATTCAGCAATATTGTTGTGGACATGGGAAATGTTTTGACATTTAAGTTTCTTCTGTTTCAGTTCATACTCTGTTACACTTCAAGGGATGTGGCTGAGGGTCAACTTACCAAACACTTAAACCTCTTCTTTTAATTTTAGGAAGTCTCATATCAAAGTAGAGCTACCCAGTTCCATTATACGTACCAGTACCTAAGTTTGACAGAAAGAGCATATTATTTCATTAACTAATGGATTCAAATGAATTTGGGTTTAGGATGTATTAAGATTAGATTCTGCTACATATAATTTAAAAATTCCAATAATAGTGGCAGTGTTTTTTATTTCTAAGTTTGGGGACATACCAAGTTGTTTCTTCTTATTCAAAAATTATGAAATTCTCAAAAAGAAAAAGGGGGAACATTTTAATGTATTTGAATTGTACCAAACTGTCCTTATCTTATGGTTTTAGAAATTCTTATGAAATAAAATAGTATATTACTGTTACTCCAAAAATAATTTTTTCTGGCTTAAGAGTTTTTTACAACTTATTTTAGGTATTATTCAGACACATTACATTTTACATAAGTCTGTGAAGTCCAGAATTACAGCTATTTAGGCAACTATTGTATTCTAGACTAAGTAGTAAATTCATTTACATATTCTTTTGTGAAACACACTGTCCTAAAATAGATTATGCCAACATTTTAAAAAGCATAACAAATTACCTGCCAGGGAACAACTATCCTATGTTAATCAACTGTATTTCTTGTTAACACTTGTGCTTATTTGAAACTAAAAATACTATATTCTCTACTTTTGGTAATATAGTTGGCTCTTCAGACTGAATTTCCCGCTAAAAACAGCTGAGAGTACTGAATAAAGTATTTTAAAAGCATGGAAGAACTGACCAGGTAGAAATTATCAGGTCAAAATCCAAATGGATCAGTCCCTCTCCCACCTCCTTACCCCCTTTTCTCTCCATGTTGCCCAAACTCAGTGATTTGTTTTCTAGAAAGTCCTTCCTCTGGATTTATCTGTTTGCTTCCTTGTGAAGATTTAATTTGTTTCTCTATCCCCCCATATTTCCTATAAATGGTTCCTAACAGCATTAACATAATCACTTATTTGTATCATCCTATAATAGTTTCAAAACAATACCAGTATTGCTGCAGACAATTAGATTACGAACTACTGAATAAAGTTTAAGATTTCTTTGCAGCTCTATTTGTTCTCAAGGATGTATAGTCAATTCTGTATTCTAATGCAACGTGAAATAATTGTTTTCTCTATATTTTTATATAAACTTTACATAGTTAGGTTCATTTGTTTCCAGTTAGCTATCAACTTTTAGGGTTAGCTAAGTCAAAACTATACAACAAGGTATATTCAGAGAACTCTTGCTTCTGTATCCCATCCACCCCATTCTCTTCCTCCTGTTGGTGACTATTTTTGGTTTTTTCTTATCAGTATTTCTTTTTGCAAACATACAAAAATATGTATTATATGTTCTTATCGCCTTATATAAAAGGTTGCATACTAAATATATTGTTACACATCTTGTTGTTGTTTTTTAAATAATATATTTGGAAGATCACTCCATATCAATACATAGGGATCTTTCTTATTTATATTATCATACTGCCTTTGGGAGTAAACCATGGTTTATTCAACCACTCCCCTATTGATGGGCATATGGGTTTTGCTATTACAAATAATGCCACAGTGAATACCCTTGCACCTAAGTATGTTTATATTTTGCCTAATGAATCTTTGCAAAAAGATTTCTAGAAGTGGGATTGCTCTATAAAAGGGTAAATGCATTTGGAATTTTTCTGGTTATTACTAAATTCCTCTCTCTAGACAGTGGTTCTCAACCTTCTGGCCCTTTAAATACAGTTCCTCCTGTTGTGACCCAACCATAAAATTATTTTTGTTGCTACTTCATAACTGTAATGTTGCGACTGTTATGAATCGTAATGTAAATATCTGATATGCAGGATGGTCTTAGGCGACCCCTGTGGAAGGGTTGTTCGACCCCCAAAGGGGTCGCGACCCACAGGTTGAGAACCGCTGCTCTAGACTCTACCATTTTGCAGTTCCACCAGCAATGTGTCAGGGTGTCTAGTTCTAGACAGCCTCACTGTAGGCTTTGTTGTTGAACTTTGGATTTATATGGATGAAGCTGTTAGTATCTCAGTATAATTTAAATGCATCTCTCTTATTATGAGGAAAGTTGAATATCTGTATATATGTTTTTAAGGACTATTTAAATTTTTTCTTCTCTGACTGTCTTTTATATGTTTTGCATATTTTTTCTGTTGTGTTGTGGGTCTTTCCTACCCCACTCTGTATTTGGGAGTTTTGTGTATGTTTTAAATTTTAGAGATAGTAGCCCTTTGACTTAATTTAGATTGTGATTTTTTTTTTCAGTTTGCCATTTGTCTTTTGACTTTATTATGTGATTTTTTATGTTTGTTCTTGCCATTTAAAAGTTTTCTATAATTGGGTTTTCTTTTCTTTTTATTGCTTCTTGATTTTGAGTGTCAGCTAGGAAGGTTATTCTCATTTCCAAATTACAAACAAGTCCTCGGGTTACGACTCACGTATGTCTTTTCATTGCCATCTCCCATTTATTTATTTTTAAAAAAGTTCCGTCATTTTGACGTATGTACATATGTGCTTTGTGTTTTTTATTATTTATTTACCACAAAAAAAAGTCAGGAATTGTTATCTTTCTTTTAAATTTTTTTCACTGTTTCACTTCATTACTGCTGTGTATGTGCTCCATGTGAGTGATGTAGGTGCTTATGTAGGTGGGTTCTGACTACATCGCACCATAGGAATGGATCTCCAACGTACCCTGAGGACATACTGTATAAAAGAATATACTGATATTTTCACCTATTGCTTACATAATTTCATTTTTTATATTTAGATCTCTGGTCTATTTGGCATTTATCCCAGTGTAGTGTGACTTACAGATACAATTTTATTTTTTTTCCAAATATATATCCAACTGTTCCAATATTTTTCCTCACTGATTTGAGATTGGAATCTATTTTTAGACTTTCCATCTGTTCCATTGATCTGTGTCCAATCATGTGCCAGTATCACCGTGTTTTAATGCTAGGTGTCCAGATATTTTGCTACTTTACTTTTTTATCAGAACTAGGTAATAACAACAATTACAGGTCACCCTCTTTTATTTCATTGTATCCCCGCCACCAACACTAAATGAAATACATATTTAATATATGTTTGTTGCAGTGCATGAAGTAGGCACTCTTTGGTCTTATATTAGCGAAAAGGATGCTGAACAAACTCAGCTTTTAATACCACTTCTAAACAAGTCACTTACTCTCTCTGGGTGTGTTTTCTCAGCAATTAACAAATAAAAGGGGTTGAACTAGATGGTCGTCCGGGTTGTTTCTGAATCTATTTAATGCTGATATGGTAAGAGCACTATGGTATGCTGTATATATGTAGTTCAGTCTGCTTTTAATTACCCTATGCCTTGTTGTTTTACCATATTCATGAAATAAACATTCTCTTCTGGGTCCTGGTTCTTTAATCTTTTCAGTAAGTTTTTCTTTGGTCCAACATTTTCTTCTCTTCTTTCTTTCTTTTATTGGTCTGCATTTCTTTCTGTTGATTAAGCAAGAATTGCCACTGTTTGGCTGCTCAGCTTCCACTGACCTCAGTAGGGGAAAATTCCATGCAGTAAATAGGAATTATTTTTTCCCCCTCACAGAGAATTTTTTAAAACACAAAGCAAAACAAAAAATCAACAACAAAACCACCTGCTAGCAGTAGTGTGTTTTATTGTATAAAGGACAAAAGGAGAAAAGTTGCCTGTAGTATTTGAAGAAATCAGACAAGACTATGACCAGATCATCAGTTTTTAATTTATTTATGAGAGTTTGTATTTCCCAATACTCATCCTTCAAGAGGTCAGGAAAGTAGGTGATGAAAAAGAAAGACCCTGATAGGTAACAATCTTATATGTAAAATGAGAAAGATTATGATGATTTTAAGGCAAGCTAAAGTCTTAATTAGTATAAAAACATGTCTTATTTACCATAACTAGAATACTTAAAATTCAAAAGAAAAATGGGAAATTATCAAACTCCTGATTACTACTGGGCAAATTAACCTTAAAAGTTCAAAGTTTGAAAAACACATGAAAGAAAATTTTTAATGTGGAAGACAGAGAGAACCAATGTAGTATGACAGTAAACATCATACTTATTCAGGAAAAGTAAGCAGCTCAAGGAAGTGTTTCTGCAGATAAAATATTTTTTAAATATATTTTATTGATTTTTTACGGAGAGGAAGGGAGAGGGATAGAGAGTTAGAAACATCGATGAGAGAGATGTGCCCGCAACCAAGGTACATGCCCTTGACCGAAATCGAACCTGGGACCTTTCAGTCTGCAGGCCGACGCTCTATCTATCCACTGAGCCAAACCAGTGAGGGCTGCAAATAAAATATTTTAATGGTCAATGAGGGATGGCTTAAAAGATTTAAAAAGAAACATTGTAGCCAAAACCGGTTTGGCTCAGTGGATAGAGCGTCGGCCTGCGGACTGAAAGGTCCCAGGTTCGATTCCGGTCAAGGGCGTGTACCTGGGTTGCGGGCATATCCCCAGTGGGAGATGTGCAGGAGGCAGCTGATCGATGTTTCTCTTGCATCGATGTTTCTAGCTCTCTATCTCTCTCCCTTCCTCTCTGTAAAAAATCAATAAAATATATTTAAAAAAAAAAAAAAAAAGAAACATTGTATGTAAAATTTCAGTGTCCAAAAACCTGCTAGTTTTTATTAAATATGGAACTTAGTTTCTTGAACACCATGCTACAATAAATACTATTTTTGTTCAGAAAAATCCCAGAACTATGAGAGGTTCCAACATTAAACTACCAATAAAGTCACCACACTTCATTCTAAGTGACTGTTTTCCCCAGGAGTTAGGGAGGTAAGGAGAGTGAATATATGCTTGTTGGGCAACGGAGCGCTATTGCGGGCCCTGGCTGACATCTGCATAAGGGTAGGCCCTGAACACACTCCAGCTTTGACAAAGATTGGGTTCATTCCTACTCTGATAACTCAGGTTTATCACTTGTCTGGTAATGGATAAAAAGAAATTCTGCATAAGAAAGACGGTTAAAGAGTTTAAATGTATGGTGCTTAAATGTCAAGTATGAATTAATGAAAGTTGAGAACCATCTGTATTTCGATACAATATGTTTTTCTTGGGAAAATCATCCAAATTTGAAAGGAAGCCATAGAAGTGTTTTTGTTTTCTTTGTAAAATTTTATTTTGTTTGAGTTCTTCAGGCATATAAAGAGGCTAGTTTCAAAATTTATGCTCCCACAATAAGGTAGGAAAATGTCTACATTTTATGGGACAT